TTGATTTTGAGACTGTTTGCAGTATTTCAGGAAGCTGGTAAGAGGTGCTGACAGCTTTGAATGTCTCACATTCTTTTCAAAATTAAACAAATAGGTTTTCAAAATTAAACAAATAGGAGACCATGCAATGAACGCCTCTGTCTATCTCCTTTAACAGAAAGAAACACTGTTCTCATGCCATCCTCTCATAAGATAATGCTATAATAAATAGTGCCATCCAGCACTGCTTTTCATAGAATCAGAGAATCATAGAGAAGGAGGCCTGGAAGGGACCTCTAGAGGTCATCTAGTCCATCCCCCTGCCTGAGGCAGGATCAACCATATCCAAACCATCCCATACAAACCTCAATCTAAACTCTACATAAGACTAACCTCAACCCTGACCCAGTATAGACCTAGCACCCTAATCTGCCACAGGTAAAGCAAGGGAACCACAGAAGCCAATGTCCTACTTCTATAAAATGTTGTCAATATACACTCAAGAGATCCCGGTAGAGGCCGTGCCCCCTGCAACAGTCCATACCAAAGGCAAAAACCCCCACAGTCCACACCAATCTGAACATGGGGCAAAATCCTTTCCTGACCCCAAATATGGTGATGGGTCTGACCCTGAGTGGAGGGGCAAGACCCTCTAGCCAGGAACCTCTGGCTTCGGTGCCAGCAGGAGCACTGGCACACTCCAGTGAAAGTCCCCAGCCTTGGCTGTAACCAACACCCAATGTCTCTGAGAAGGCTTAAAAACACCCTGACATATATAGCAGAAAAGGGGTGGGGTAGGGGCTGGGGCAACCAGCAAGGCCTGGTAGAACATACCCATAGTTACACCTATATCTTCCCTGATTAGTGGCTGTCCAACATCTTCCTGAACACCTCCAGTGATGGCGTGTCCACAGCTTCCCTAGGCAGACTATTCTATGCCTCATTATTCTAGCAGTAAATTATTTTTCTGAACATCCATATCAACATGTCACTGGGTACGGCCGTGGCCCTCAGCAGCCAGGTGCCTTGTGGGTGTGCGCCGTGAGGAGGCTGGACCTGTTTGGTCCAAACGCTTGGCCTGGATTGCCCCGTTTCTCGCTTGCCACATCTTGATGTTGAGTATCACTTATTCAGTAGGTGGTCTGCCAGCCAAGCACTCATCCTCAGGGTCTGTCATGACAGTCCTTTTCTCAGGGCTCCTACCTCCTTTTACATCCTATCTACATACCAACCAGATGGAACCACAATGGTTGATCCCAGTGTCTGAGTCTGAAGTTGACAAATGTTCTGACTTCATGGCCACTAGGCTTGGGGTTATCTCTAGGCTGGGTCCAATGGGCTATATTACTTGCTCAAAACAATGCTGTCTGTCTATCAGTGCTCAGTAAAACTTCTAGAAATTAAATCAGGTGAATGTCCTGGCCCTGGAAGCCCATTAAGACCAGGGATCCTGGCCCTCTAAAGAAAATGTAGGCTCTAATTGAGTTCAGTTTCTTTATTGTCCGGACTGCCTGATCCAATAAAAAATAAATAAATAAAATAAAATAAAATAATCTTCAACTGAGTCAATTGGCCCCATGTAATTTTTTGTCAGTCACTCAACTAGGCAAATAAAAAGTTTCCTGGATCTCTTGCTGATTCTGCAGACCCTCTACTTGAGGACAACTCCTTGGCCCTGCCTGTATTTAATTAGCCCAGGTTCACACTCATGAGACTTCCCCAGCGTGCTAAGCGAACCTCACTCAGTAATCATGATTCAAGGTCCAATTGGGGAAGACTACCTGCTTCCCTCCCTAAAGGGGTTGTTGAGGCTGGCCATATCCGCGCTCCCTGCTGGGAGTGGAAAGAAAGAAAAAAAAAACCCCAAAAGAGAAAAAAACCTTGTTTTCACTGGAGCCATTCCTTTCAGCAGCTACCTTCCTCCCTGGCTGTGAAGTCTGGTGAGGTTTCCCCAGAGCCTCCAGATGCTGCAGCCTTTGTTGGGTGGCAAATGGGATCACCAGGGGCTCTTTCAAGCTCCCAGGTTTGGAGCCAGCTCCCTTCCCCTTGCTCTGGGGGTCTGGCCACAGGGCCGGGCTGTGTTTCTTGGCACATGTTGCCTGGCCTTTGCCTCACAGTCCTGCCATGCTTTACCGGGCTTTCCTCAGGGCACCTTCCCTCTCCCTCACAATCCAATCTAAACTTATTTTGCTGCAACTTCAAGCCGTTGGTCCATGTCCACATTGAACTTAATCCTGTTAGCTCTAGCCCAACTTTCCAATATGTTGAGATCCTTTTGAATTGCACTCGCATCCTCCATGCTTGCAATTTTTCCCAGTTTCATGTTGTCTGCAAACTTGCTCAAGAAGCTTTCTCTGCCCACATCCAATTGTCAAACATGTTGAACAGCACTGGGCCCAGGACAGACCCCTGGGAGACTCCACTTGAAACTTCCTGCCATTCTGACTTGAACCTGTTAATAATTACCCTTTGCTTGTGGCTATTAAGTCAGTTATCTATCCAACTGACAGTCGTCTTTATCTAGCCCACATTTCTCCAATTTATTTATGAGAAGGTCATGCAGGACCTTGTCAAAACCTTTGCTGAAGTCCAGATGCACAGTGTTCCCTTCGTCCACCCAAGTAATTACTTTGTCAAAGAAAGAGATCAAGTTTGTTTGACATGATTTACTTTTCATAAATCCATGATGTTAAATATTTTCCATGGGCATTCTGTCCCATGAAAAAGCAAATGGAAGGAGAAAAGAGCAATCAAATATTAAAAGATCAATCAAATATTGAAGTCATGGAATCATGCAATTCCCCTCTCCCCCCCCACCACCTCCTCCCCCAAAAAAACCCCAACCCCCCCACAAAAAAACAGAGAGAGAAAGAGAGAAAGGGAAGAAGATCAACCTACCTGTCAGGACAAAAAAGTGATTCTACAGGACACAGGCAAATGAAGCTGTACAATTTGTGTAGGAATCATTCAACATCTGATATGAGTATGTAAGTGCATTTTATTGTAGAAGACGGCTGGGGAAAAAAAATACTGGAAGATGTTTTATTATAAGCAGAACTCTTAACCCAAGTGCCAGTCCTCAAGAAGGAAGGCTTCCCCTCCCTGCAACTGACTTCAGTTAGAGAGGCTGAGGAAAACAGCAAACTCTGTGGTTAGTGGCAATAGCTGCCCCAGAAGGAAATACAATCACAAAACTCACAGCAGTGCAGTATTTCTTCAAAAATTGTACGCTGCTTGCACAATAAGAAAAAGATGTTGTAAGATAATGGCAATATGTATAGGCCAATTGCAAGTGTGTTTGCAGCACATGTAGGCACACCCAAGAACTAGTAGTTTTGATGTAGCTTGCTCAGATACCAATAGCACTGAGCTCATGAAAGCATAGACTTCAATATGCACCAGCTACCTGAGCCAGTACCTAAGGTTCTGGACAGGTTTGTACAACCAGCATTCTGCTGCCAAAGCTTCACTGCTGGTAGTACCCAATATAGCTAGATCAAAGCTGATGTAGGTATCCCTAAATGTGTGGCAATAGCACCTCAGATTGCAGGGTAGACATGGCCTATGGTGCTTGTAATGACACCACCCGGCAACTCACACCAGAATGATGAAGCGCTACACAAGCGTTTCCCAAAGTTGGCAGGGCAAGCATGAAGGACAGAGCAGGGATGGATGATGTATAAATTCAGGTGAGCAGGCCTCAACACATCGCATGACTGCAGCTGCAGGGCAGGCAGCATTGATTTCATTTTCAGGAGGGCATCAGTCTTCCAAACACTGGGAAATGCTGGTGTAGGTAAATGCTGGCTTGATCAACATTCATTTCTTGAGACCTTGAATCTCGATCTCCAGTTCTCCTTTTGTATGCGTATCTCACTTCACCTTTACCTCTCCTTGCTTTTTCCACTGCTCTGCAGCATCTCAGCCCCCTTTTATTGCTTCTGCAATTTTCTCCTGGACTGTCCATTTTGCAGTTTACCCATGCTTTCTGAAAGGCTATGTATCACAACCTCTTGCAGGGAAGCTGTACTGTGTTGATCACCACCACAGTTCAACAAGTATGTGGCATGTTGTTCAGGCTCTCTTTCCATTTCTGGATGAAATCTCACTAAAATATACAGGAATCTTAGGAGGAAAAGCTATTCAATTACACTAATTGTCATGTATAATTCCACTCTCATAAATATGTTGGAAGACCACTGAGGACAAGTGGATCTGAACAGCACTTCTAACTGATAAAGTGATGCAATGCTAAAAACTCGTCCAAAAGATAATATGATGGAAGCAGTTAGTTGAGGGAAAACAGAAAGATAAGTTAAATTTGAATAGTTGTTTGAAAGCATATGCTGTTGCTTTGCATCACTAGCGTAGACAGTGGGTATCCCAGTAAAAGTCCTGTTATGGCCTAAAGATTACCCAGTCAAAGGCTAGTAGGACTATTATTAACTCTGAAGTGATATACAGAAGAGATCTGATCACTCACAGAGCTTACAAAAATACTTTTTTCCTTTATATCAGATTACTTAAACCTTTCTGAAAGAAAAATCATTTTCAAGAGCCTGGAAAAGCTAGAGGATAAATTCTGATCTGAATTATACTTGTATGTTGACACTAAATACAAAGTTAAACTCAGACCAAATTTTGACCCGATTCAGCTGCTTTACCTTATGGACAAAAATCCTCATACAGCCACTTTGGTTCAACATTGAAAATAAAAATTTAACCAACACAATTATTTTGCAGTAATACAAGAACAATAGTCACACAAAGCACAAAGGAATGTGTATTAAATTTGAAATCCAGCTTTGAATTAGCTGTATATTTAAAGGACTTTTTTTCTAGTTTGACACACTATTATGTAGGATACGTTATTTTATTTCTAAGAAGCTTTGTGTAATAAGGGGCTAAGCGCAAGATAGTTTAAACTAATATTTGTGTATGGAAAAGGATAATGAGGATAAAAATAATAAGGTTAAAAAATTGGTGCTTACAAACCTTTAAAATTGTTTCTGCTCTTACAGATTAAACCTGTGAGAATATCGTAGAATTTTACTATATTTCAAGGGCTTTAGCTTTTAATATGAAACACTATACAGAGCGTGCATACAGCATATTCAACATAAAGGACTTGCTAAATACCCACAAGAGAAACTGGTTCAAAATCTCTCAAGACTGAGTTAAGACGCAGACTGAAAAACTACAAACAAGTAGGAATCTCCATCATCCCTTGGAAACCTTGGATTAATGTACACTGAGGCCTCTCATGGTATTAAGGTAAACCTTGTTGTTTTGAACACATCCTGCTTGACTGACTGTATCCAGTGAAGTGAATTAACATTTCCAAATACTCTGTCCCAAAGCAAATCGGGTCTTGTGTGAACACTTGGATGGATTATTCAGAGATTCTGCTTTCGCGATCCAAAGCCATAGTCAGGAACACAGAGGGATCTTTTTACAGATGTTATTATCCACCACTCCTACCCCTTTTCCTTGTTGTTCTTTCACTAGTCCTGATCCCTGCCTTTTTCACAAAATCCCATAGGGAGAACTGCTCCTTAAGAAGTTCCTTCCATATTACTGTGGCAGGCTGATCTAGTTTGCTCCCTTCCACAACAGGCTGACAACCCCATACCCTCATCATCCCACACTCTTACTGCCACCTCCATGGAAGAGTATTCTCTCCTGGTCACATCTGCCTTACACAGAGTCAGCTAGACACCATGAACCACCACTGCAACCATGGATTTTAGGTTGGTTGGTTGTGGGGGAGTTTTTTCCTTTAGAATTGCTCAGAGGGAATTGGTCATGAAGATTTAGTATCAAAAACGTTGGTAGGTAGCACACAAAGGTAGTAGGTCTTTTTAACAGCCATGCCTGGATTCTACCCTTTTCCCAAGACCTGTCAAAGGTGATGGGTTTCATGGGTGCACCGGAGGGATAAATAACTCCACAAAGGCCCCTGACATACACTCATTTAAAGGCACCATGAGATCTGACCCCCAGTCCCAGCAGTCACACCTTCTGCCATACCACACATGCATGGCAGGAGCCATGATTTTAGAATCAGATCAAATCATGCCCTTGTTACTCACCAGTGCAAAGCGAGCCTGGGATTAGTGACTGGTTGAAAGCTGAGTACTCACAGTCTGGAGTGACCTGGAGCTGTCCCGGGGCCTGGGCTGACAATCAGCTAATTGTTAGCCTCAGCCCCAGGACAGCCCCAGGCAAGTTCAAGACCCTGGGCTGTCCCAGACCTAGGGCAATTTGAGGGCTTCGCCACAGGGAATTTAAACCCCAGGCCTGCCAGCTTGGGCAGGGCTGCTGGGCATGGACGATCAAAGGCTCCCAGCAGGGGGAGCCAGGAGCTTCTAATCCTCTGTGCCTGGCAGCAAAGAGTCCCGGGAAGCCCTTCAGCAGTAGGGTATCTAGGGGTGGGCAAGCAGGATACCAGCCAACTTAGGAGTGGCACCAGAATCATCCCCCACCCCCGTGGAGTCTGTGCCCCAAGAGAAAAAGCAGCCCCGAGCCATTGCTCTTGCAGCAGCTGCAGCTGGGTGCACAGTCACTGCCCTGCTACTATTGCAACAGCCAGGGTGGGAAGCAAAAGCAAAAGGGGACTGTTTTTGTGTTCTTGGTGTAGGTAAGGCCCTGCCTTTCCTTACCCCTTTCAGAATCCCTGCCTTGCTCAACAGCATCTCCCCAGGCTGCACCTGTGCTCTTCCACTGCCCTGTAGGGTTTACTCATGGTGCAAATCCTGCTTGTTACACCTCTGCCTTTTGGCTCCCTTCCTAGGAGCCTCATCCCTGACATGGGGGAGTTTGGGTGCAGAGGTTACATTTGTCAGCAGGGAAGCTCCTCAGTTTCCCCTGCCAGGAACCCCCAGGGCAGCCCCAGGTCCAGCCAGAAAGCCAGGGCTGCCCTGAGGCCCAGTTTTGACAATTGTCAGCCCCGGTCCTGGGGCAGCCCCAGACATGTCACATGTTCAGTTTTAGGTGCCATTGTGTGTGAAACATTTTTATGACTGGTTTGCCATTTTATGGTGCTTTAAATTGGGTGTATGTGTAGCACTCTTGCCACGTATATCATGATTAACATGTTAATGGCAGCATAAATATAGAGTGTAGAAGAGCCCAAACTGAAATGCATGGAGTTTGCTGGCACTTGAGTTCTCCCAGAGAGCAGATACTATGAACCATGGTGTCTGTGACATTGGATGATTGACTTATTTTCTTCTTTCTTAGTTCTGCATGACCCTGTGAAAATAGTTATGCACACACTTTTCAGCTCCTGATTTAGAAGGTTTGCAAGGTTTAGATCAACATATTCAAACAATATACAAGTAAGTTTTGAATAATCAACCCACTCTAAGCTAAATCTTCATGTTATGGCATAATTGCTTTAGTGTACATTTCTATTTGAGGCATGCACTCTGCATGCCACCACGCACACACCCACAAGAAGCTGTCAACTGGAAACCAACTGGTACAAGGAAAGGAGGGCACCCATGGCAAGAACCTGTAATAGGGAGGGCAGAGTAGTCAACCTTAATGCCACAAATGGGTGGAAACAGCAGTGAATGACAGAGGGGAGCAAAGAGCTTCTTTTCTGCCCTTAGCACCAGCACTGGTGTGGGAAGGACAAATGAGTAAATAGACATTCCTAGTTAGGATCCATTCAAAAAAGCTGAAATAGTTCGTCATTACAGTAAGGCAGCCACACCTGAAAAAAAAATCACTGCATATTAGAAAAATAAAGGTTGTTTATAAATCAAGCTCAGTTCAAATTTATACATATACATTTATGTATATAAATTATTTCTCCCTATTGATGCAGAGACATATTGCTGATCACTGTTCTGTGTAATGGCAATCTGTATTTATTCTACAAAAGGAAATAGTCTTTCCTTCATGAAACCAGAATGTCAAAGGCCTCAGTTTATTGTCTTCAAGAAATGACATGTAGCCATTCTCATTTACTGGAGATGCACAGGCCAAAACAAACATTAATATGACCTAACCATGGCAGAGAATAAATTAATCTGTTTGTCATTATGGTTCAGTATAAGCTAGTTTAAAGGACATTTGTGGGGGACTGCACCTCTTGAGCTTTTTAGGGAAGATGGTGAGAATTCCTTTCTGTGCTAAAACATATAAAATCTGTGCATTAGCAAAGACTTTTTTAAAGCTTTTCTTTTACGGAAGGAGCAAGGGGCAGTCATCAGTAGCAGATAAAGCTCTAATGCAGTGATTCGCACTTAGGGTGCCACAGCACCTTGGGGTGCCTTGAGATCCTTTCCAGGGTGCTGCAGGGTGCCAAACAATGTTAGCACTGTTAAGTTTACAACCATGATTCACTAGATAACCCAGAGATTTCAAGTAGAAATCCATAGTCGCAGTCTTTATGAGTTCTTTGCAAAAGAAAAAATGCTCTGTTATTTTCTACAGTAAAAAAAAAAGCATAACAAGAGCTAGCACTTTCCAAAGGGTAACTTGAGTCTATCTGGGGGTGTCTGGAGTCTGTTTAGGGGTGCCTTGACTCTAAAAGGTTGAGAATCACTGTTCTAATGAAACAAAATCTTCATTTACCTGAGGAGCAGATAAGCTTTTCTCATGATTTAGATCTGAAAACCCATTCTGAATAAACAAGCACTGTTTCCTCATCAGACTTGCATAGTGACCTCTGAACCCCTTAAACTACAGACTATGGAAACGTGGGCTCTACTGATGCCTAGTTACTGGGTGACTTGGAGCAAGGCAGTTTGCCTCCTGGTTTTCTCATCTATAAAACAGGAATAATGGTACTGGCTCCTTTGGTTTGTCACTGTTTGAGCTATGGATAAAAGGTGCTGCTTTAAATATTACCATTGATATGGCATGTGGTGCACATTGAAATGATGGTGGATCAGGTCATTCTGAAGGGAAAAATAAAAACTCAGTAGTGTACCAGCTCTCTGACAATTTTCACTAGGACTGAACCAGCAAGAATCCTTTGGGATCCTTTGACCCCAGCTGACTTCCTGCCCCTTGGCAGGGGGCTGGACCCTATGATCTTACAAGGTCCCTTCCAGCCCTAATGTCTATGAAATCTATGAAGAATGAGTTATTTCAGCTATGCCAGCAAAAGAATGAGAAAAAATTAATTCCTTCCACAAACCTGGCAGAATACAGCTGAAGGGGAATATGAGAGACTAGCTCTTAGGAAAAAAAACCCTAAGAAAAACTTGCTCCAGTGAGTTTCTTTTACATTTATCCAAAAAGGAGAGAGAAAGACTAACATAATGGTGGCTGTAACCAGAGCTGGAAACAGATGAAGGTACCATACTTTCTGGACAGCAATTAAGCAGTATTATAGATTTGGGAGACCAAAATAATGCTTAGCTTTACATGTTCAAAGCACTGTATACACATTAACTAGTATACACATTAACTAGTTAACCCATCCTCATGGCAGAGTGATCACATATTTTTATCCCCATTTTACAGATATGTAAGGAAGGAAAAGGAGGAAGGAAGTGACTTCATCAAGGCTGCACAACAAATCAGTTGCAGGACCAGAATTAGGATTCAAGCCTTCCTACTTTCCCATCATGGGTTCATTCCTCCAGATCACCTGGCCTTTTGTAAAAATGATGGAATATGGGAAGCTGGCTAAATGTGGAAAAATTAAACCACCAGCATTCCACACTGGTCTGTTACAGAAGGGAAAGAAACAAGTGCAGAGATATTCCATCAGTGAGACCTTTGCTATCCTACAAATCCCTTCTCACCTCGCTATCAGCAGAAGGATTCAATAATGGTGAATTGACCTTATTCCTTGCCTCCCCTGCCCCCCCCCCCTTTATTCTTTGTGATGAGGAAGTTTGATCACTCCTTGCTGACAGTAAAAGAAACTTGGAATGTGACAAGATAATGCTATCTCCACTTTACCACCATAATAAAAGCCAAGCAAGCTCACATTATACACAGGAGCCCATTTCAGCAACACAAACTCACCCACTTATTTTGCAAGATGATAGCATTTAGAGTTTGAATCAAACAGAGCAGAAACTTAATAGTATTCTTTGTATAGTATTATTTATCTGCCCAAGACTAGTCAGCTGAAATAATCTAAGATTTTCACTATTTCTTCTGTCCTGATAGTGTATTTACAATAGTACGCTGATACAACAAATGTGATTCCCCATTTCAAAAGCACCTGCAGTTGTCATTGATAAGAAAGGCAGGCTGCTTGAATTCCTGAAGCACTTTCCTGTTTATAATAGCCTGCAGTACCTTTCAATTTAACATATCGTTAGTGACAGCTTCTAGAGACAGGCAAGAGGATAGAATTTGGGGAATGTGAATTCGTTTTTTTTTATATCTCAGACTGTCACAAGCAGTGCCATAATGCAAAATGGAATTACAGCTGCATGTAAATATCCATTTCTGCTGGATGTAGCAAGTGTCCATAAAGAGACCTGACAGTGCTGCTTTATGTAGCTGAAACCACTAAGGTACCATCAGGGAGAGGTATATTCAGTTCAATAATGTGAATTTTAGCTTCTCTGACCATGTTTGTTATGTAAAATATTTTTGATCCAACTAAGATTCATGTAGAAGCAATATGATAGTAGCATAAAGGAATGGATGACATAATGTATGAGATTTATCCAGGCTGGTATGAATGATTTTGGGATTTGTACCTTCAAATCTTTCTTTTGTTTCTGCTTTGTCTCTCCTGTTAATGGAGATTCAGATTGGTAGGGAGCACAAACGAATGTTAAACCAAATGCTATTCCTGTCTCTCTAAGGGAACATCTAGTGCAGTGGCAGAGTGCTCAGTCCTGTCTCCAAGGAAATGAACCCAGAACACCTGCTCCTAGTCTGTCTGCATCAACCTCAGCAATGAGAGAGGAAGAGAGAGCATATTGGAGAGCACTCATGACCTGGGTTTCCACTGTGCTCAGAAGCAGTGGCGTGGGGTGCCTATGGGTAGGGAGTACTGAATTCATGGTGAAAGTGGGGTGTGCTGTGGTCCCTTTAATCTTGCAGGTTCCCCTGCACCCTTCCCCTCACTGATTGGTGAAGGGTCCCCACTTGTGGCTTGCTTCTAATCAGCAGGGAAGTGAAAACTGTGATTTTAAATATGGTGCTGTTTTTGCCTCCCGCTGCTGATTGGCTCACGGGCTCCTGTTTGCTGCTGATTAGCCGGGAGGCAAAAACAGCACCATGTATAAAACCACAGTTTTAGCTCCCCTGCTGATCAGGAGGGAGCAGTGGGGTCCTCTATTAATCAGCAGCGAGCGGGGGGGCAAGGAATGAGGTGCACGTGGGGGAACATGCAAGATTAAAGGAGCCGCTGCAGACTTTACTTCCGCCATGAATTTGGTAGGTCCCTACCTATGGGACATCCTCGCTGCCTCAGTCCCAAAGCTGATGTGCACAGAGTGGGAGTGGGCGGGCAGGGTTTATTTCCTCAGCAGCCAGACAGAGAAATCTGGTGCCATGATGTATGCATGCCATAACAGACCCTGGAGCCCACTGATTTTTTCCATATTGCTAGGTTTTGATGAGCAAATGGTGTGTGTATGTCTGTATGTACAGTGCATTGTGGGCATAGCTGAGCTATGCCTTGCTTTGGCTAAATTGTATGATCTTAGCTCAGATGAGCTAGTCTAACCTGAGTAACACTTTTTCAAACCCTGGCAGGGTTTAAAAGTTTATTGGAGCCCAACAGACCTTTCCTCAAAAAACAGAAATCCAGTTAAGTGGGGCCAGCTTTGAGAAGTGTAAATTAAATCAGCTGAAAGTGTAACATGGACATTAGGAAGGCTAAGAAGGAACAGGAAGAATAAAGAGCCGAAGACAGACCAACACAGAAGAAAAAAAATTAGGCACAATAGAGGCATGACGCTTGCAAGAGAATTGCTGGGTACCCAGAATTGCTGAGGAGTTAGGGGAGCAATTAAACAGCCAAAGCACATTTGAGAGACACTGTATTGAAGCAAAGAAATCATTTAAAGAGCTAGAGAGAGATTTGCACCAAGCCTAGAATTTTCAGGTAATTAAAATGAGAAAATATTAGAAATTGACCTGTCAAAATGGATGTGCTGGAAGTAACAGATAAACTGAATTAACAAGTCTTTAGGGTCCAGATATGTACGGGAGCTTTCAATAGGAGTTAGATACCAAGACCTAGGATGAGACGATACACATCCAAGAATTTCAAAGCAATTTAAGAATGAAGTGGCTGAACTGCTAACAGCAATGTAGAATCTTATATTAAAATATCTTACCCATACCAGGACATAAGAAGGAAGAAAGAAAATGTTATACATGTCTTTAATTAAATATGCTGATG